TTCGTTACACACTCCAGATATACAAATGACATATTATACAAACAACATATATATATATATATATATATATATATATATATATACAACATTCAACACAAAAAAATATAAATATATACATATGTAACTATATATATATATATATATATACAGATCAATAAAATAATACAAATAATAATATAAACTAAAAGTAGACCTTTAGTTAAAAGTGAGAACTTCCTCAAAATAGTGATAAAGAGTTTTCAATATTTTAAGAATGTTTCTCATTATAATGACTTACACAATCCCGTCACATTGGCGGAAATGGGCTTCCATAGAGAGGAGACTTCTTGAATTACAGATGTTTTACTGCACCTCTGTCTCATTGTTTTTCTTGCCTATGGAGCAACAGACGTACTAACGGTCCCATCTTACCCCGCTCTCCCCTATGTTCAGAGGGATGTCGGTCCACGCCTGCTCATGAGAAGCCACGACCACCCGGTGACACTCACGCCCTCACAGCGTGCAGCAGCGTGGAGGAAGAACCAGGAGGGGTATAAAAAGAGTAAGATGTACAGCGTTAACGGTAGAGTCGTTGTTTCTGTTTGCTGATGCCTTCTTTGATTTCCCGTGCCGTATAAGTGGATTCCATCGGTGTCTGTTAACAGTAAGTTACAGTAATGATATTTGACTCACACCGCTGCTGTTCTATAAGCACTGACTGCATTAGCCTCATACATTTGGCTAACTTTATATTTTATTTCATTTCTTTATGGTGGTGCTGGTGTTATGGGAGACGGCGTCGGTTTATTTTCAATCACTTCGCTTATATACTAACGTTACCGCTAGCAAGGCCGCTTTTCTGTGGTTATGCGTTAGTCAAACATTATTAACTAACATTAACTAACTAACTAACTTAGTCAGCTAGGTCCGCAGTTGAAAGTTAACAACGAATGTTGTGCGGAACTGCGCTTCAGTTGAACAAAAACACTAGTAATATTATCCATAAGTCCTTTTAAATAACCTTTACATATACTTTACTGCTTCTCAGCAACAGCCACCAAGGAGTTAGTAACTTATTGAAACATTGTGCTGTCTTTATTCATTCTGAATATATTTATTCATAAAAACTCGCCTTAGCTAAACCCTTAAACGCACACACACACACACACACACACCTGTCCTGTCAATCATGGTTAGGTAACGCGGTATAATATCCGCTGCTTTAAGCGGGGTGGCCATTGTTTTGATTTTGGGACATGAAGAAGCCCAGAGGAGCATTGATACTAATTCTATTTGGGGGTTATGTGGAGTTAGTGTCAGCAGTGGAGGCTCAGTGTACTTGTTGACAAAACCCAGGAAGTGTAGTTTGAAAATGTCACTGAGCCCCTACCGCTATCCGCACCTCACGTACACTCATGATGTATGATGAAATCAGACCTGTGGGCTGTGTGTGGACAGAGCACAGAGGAAGAGGCCTGTCTTAATCTAAAGGTGACCCTCCATTCAGGTGCGCTTCTACGGTGTGTACAGCGGGGCGGCTGTGGCGCAGGAGGTTAACGGTTCGATTCACAGTTTCTCTCGCTGCATGTCGAAAAGTCCTTGAGCGAGACTCTGAACCCCAAAACAATGTGCCCAAATTGTATGAAAGTGTGTAAATGCCCTTAGTTTCACACCCCCTTTCTCATTCACTGTAACCACCTGATTACTTAACACTCAGTGCAATGGAAACAGGTAGAAATACTGCGAGAGAGAGAGGGAGCCTGCAGTGTGTAATGGCTGCTGTCAGTATACCTTTATATTGTGAACATTTTTTGACATCACAGTTACATTTGGGGGTAGGCTGAAACGGATGTGGGATTTCTGAGAAAAATGGCGGCTGATATAGAGAATGTTTGAACTGGAATGCAAATAGAACTTTTCTATGTGGATTGTGCACTGATTTTGCACTGATATGACTACTAACAAATAACCTTATTGAAGAATATTAAAATTCTTTTACATGTAAAATAATTTCAAATTTCCATTGTCAACCTTTTGCAGTTGACATTGCACATTACTCTGTGCTGCTTCTCCAGCGCACTCTGCTGGATAAACTGTGCACTGACACCAATGTATTACCTAGAGCAGTCCTGTTGCTGTGACCGAGCCTTCTGAAACATTCATTAACCATTTGCTGAATTATTTACTAATGTGCTGACTGAGTAACACACCAGAATAATGGATGGATCGTGTGTGTGTGTGTGTCCACCGGTATATCATAGAAAATGGGACTTCTGATGAAGAAGAATGTTGTTTTGCTGGTGCTTCTTCTTATCCTGGGAGTCTACTTCATTAGTCATTCTGCCCTCCTCATTGCGGTAAGTACACACAGGATGAACAGCCTTTTACCACATGCATATTGTTACTGCTTACAGAAAAGTATACACCCATTACAAACAAACTTACTGGGTAGGATTTCATGAGAACACGTCATTTGCACTGCAAGCAGAGCAGGAAGGGCGAAGAGGGAATTTTTTTAAAAGTTGGAATGTCGCCATAGAAACAGGTTTTCAGTTTGTTTCAGACAAAGCCCTATTGAAATGCAAGGGATTCTTATTTTTCTGCCAAAAGGATTGCATTTTTGGAGGCTGCAACGTGCCTGAAAACTCATGAAACTCAGCACAAAAATTCAACGGTATGAGAAATGTACATATTATATAGGTCCCACACATGGGTGTCGCAAAATGGCTTAACCAAGCCTCCCACAATCAGCCTTTTTTTCATACGAAAATTGCTATGAAAATGTATCATGATCAGACAAGCCAAAAAGGAAGTTGTCCTAACTTGTGTGTGTTTTGTTCAATCTCAATAAAACTTCACACGTTTAATAATAGTACCAACCTGATATGCTGGCACATAACGCGACCGCAGCAAGCCCCAATTGCACTGACTGCGAGGGTCAGTCTCTCATCATCTAAAATAGTTGAAATGAACAAATATTTGCACAGCATTCGTTTTCATTTTTTACTCAAAGAAATCTGCAAAGTTTCTGCCAAGACGTATACGCTTTTCTTCCCAGCATTGATCCAATGGATCAGACAATTTGGAACCAGTTCTCAACTGGACCCGGAATGAGGGGAGATAGAGGGGGGTGACATGCGGCAGGGCCACAGGCGGTACATGGGGCGTGAGCTACCAGGGCACAGCATATGTGCATATTCTAATTCTAATTAAATCTGTGTGTTTGTTTTGCAGGGCCCATCAATGTCACATAAACCCATTCCAAATGAGTTAAGTTGGCAAGCAGAGAGGTTGGTCAATAAAGAAGCCTGGGTCGAACAGAGAGGTTACCTGCCTCTCAATGTGTCCTATCAGCTGCTTGCTGGAGCACCATCCACTCAACAGAGTGAGTGACACACTTTGATTGTCCTTTTTGTTATATTGAGTTCAGAGCTGAACTAATGTAATGGTTATTTCCAAGCTGCCACTTTGTCGCAGCAAGAGACCGCTGACAGCGTACTGTGGCCCTGCATTGTAATGCACTTATAATATGAGCAAATGTGTCAAATAAAATCTTTGAATCTAATATCTGAATCCCTAACTTGCACTTTGTCTGTGCCTATCGTGACGTCATGCACTGGTTTATGGAGTTCCGTTTTGAAGCCTCAAGGTTGGCAGTATGGCCGTCGCCACAATGTTCGGTGTCTGCAGCTGTGATGTACTGACGCACTCATTTTCACAGGAATCAATGGCAGCTTCACTGGTCACACATGTTCTTGTATGACAGATAAACAGTGCACTGAAATATGTTTCTGAAAAGAGAATGGTCTGCTGCAACTCAGTGTCATCCAGCAAAACACAGGGCTGATTTTGCATTGCTAATTTTTGCATCACAATTTTCATTTTCACAGAAAAAATAAAATAAAATAAAAGTTGCAAGCGGCAATGATCTAGCCCTCGCACTTGTACGCATTAGGGTGTGCTGTGGACGCGTCATACAGCAACATCGTGTATGGAACACACCGTGAAAATTTCACATAAATCAGATGAGGATTGCCAAACAATTGGTGGGGCTTCCTGTTGAATATTGGCATGTAGATGTGTTCAGGGTGGGAATCTTATCAAACATGTGAAGTTTGGTTGAGATTGGAAAAAATACACTAAAGTTATGACTTCTTGTTTCATGGTGATGCGTCAAAATTTGACGCCAAGCCACAGACACTTAGTTTGAGGCCCAGTCACAAAGAACACAACTTTTAAACATGAAGGTCTTTAGATTGCCCTGACCAATTTGATCAATTCCCTAAGAGGAGTTTGTTAAAATACAACGTGCAAAGTCGCCAACTTCCTGTTGGGTTTGGGGTATGGGTCCTTGAGGGTTTTTGTTTGTCTGGTCATACATATTGGTTAAACGTACATCAAGGGCTGAGTTTGGGGGGCGCTGTGGAGCCATTTTGCCACACCCATGTGTGGGACCCATATAGTCAGTACATTTCCTCACTGTTGAATTTTGTGCTGTGTTTAATGAGTTTTTGAGCATGTCGCGGCTTCCAAAAATGCGTTTATTTTGGCAGAAAAATAATAATTCCTTGCATTTCAGTATTGCGATTTTCATAGTATTTTTAGTCATTGTGCAGCCCTAATTTTGGCACATTTCACAATTTGTATCGATAACATTAATTTGACAGATGCTTTTATCTTAAGGGACTTATATAAGTCATAAACCTCTATAGGATAGTGCATCCTAATCTTACTGCGCCATAGGGTTTGTTACACAGAACCATCTGGGAAGTCGTTGCTGGAAACTGTTTGGCCAGGTACTTTCACAAAATACTTAGCAGGTGATTGGATGAACCATCTATCTATCACGGGTGAACAAGTCAGATGAACGAACAATATAACTTAGTCAAACTCAAACTTCAACCAAAGTCATTCAGGAGAAGAGTGAAAACCATGTAGAAAAGTCTTCAGTGCCGTTATTTGTTCTGCTTTAATGAAGAAATACTCCCCAGTTCTGATAGAACTGATGCTAGCAGCATCTAAGCTAACCTCTTTAGCAGCCGCCATTGTAGTTTTGAGCAAACACTTCTCCACCAAGTGATAAAACTAAGAGAATGATTTGTGCTACTGTAGAAGTGCCTAGAATTTTAATTTGGTAGTAATAAACACACACATTTCCCTTTTCTGTCCTGACATGTTTCAGGGTATTTAACAATTGGATTATCATCGGTGAAGAGGAACAAGGGCAGCTATTTAATCCCCACCTTGCAGTCGCTCTTCTCCCAGTCTTCTCCTGAAGAGCGTTCTTCCATGGTGGTGGTAGTGCTGCTGGCAGACTTTGACAACAGCTGGAGAATCATAACAGTGAGGGAGATCAAAACTGCATTTGCCTCTGAGCTGGAACAAGGCCAGCTGGTGGTCCTACATGTTCCTCAGCAGTGGTACCCTCCTTTTACAGGTGCAGTGCATGTTTGAGTCTACCACTGTACAGATTCATTCACATCCAACAAGTGTGCTGTGATACTGATATAAGTGTCTCTGGTTCTTCTGCAGGTATAAAGAGGAACTACAACGACGCTCCAGAAAGGGTAACGTTCAGGTCCAAGCAGAACCTGGATTACGCCTTTCTGATCCACTATGGTGCTGGTCTTGGTAGATACTACCTCCAGCTGGAGGACGACATCTTCTCTGCTAAGAGCTTCCTTACAACAATCAAGAGGCGTGTTGAGGAACAAGAGGTGAAAAAGGCCACCTGGGCAATGCTGGAATTCTCCAGCCTGGGCTACATAGGGAAACTCTACAAAGCAGCCCATATTCCTCTCCTGGCCCGCTTTCTCTTCCTCTTCTATCAGGAAATGCCCTGCGACTGGTTGATGTCTCACTTCCGAGTGCTGCTGACTCAGAAAGAAGTTATCCTCTTCAAACCCTCACTGTTCCAACACATGGGGACTTTCTCCTCGTTCAAAGGGACATACAACCATCTAAAGGACAAGGACTTTGAGGAGCGGTTCTACACCAATCCTTCAGCTGAGGTCTACTCTGATATGTCCACCTACCAGAAACACTTCCCCAAACTGGCCTGGGATGCAGGGGAGGGATACTTCTGGGGACGCTCCCCAGAAAAGGGAAATTACCTGACTGTGGTGTTTAAAGACCCTGCAGTAGTGACAGGGATATGTGTAGAAACAGGGTCAGGGGGCAAAGACCTCCTGGAGTCAGCTCAGGTGGAGATAGGCCATGAAGTGGTTACTACCGAGAAAGTGGAGAAGAGTTGTAAAGAGTTCCAGTCAGTGGGGACCTTAGAGAATGGGAGGTTTGAAATGCAGGACATGGACAAAAAGTATAACACTGCCTCTTCCTGTCTGAGGATACAAGTCACAGCTGGGCAGAAAGACTGGTTGATCATTCAGAAAATCAGGGTCTCAACAAAACTGAGTACACCTCCACATCAAGCAAAGGAGTGAACTCAGTCTCTCAGGATTTTGCGTGCTTTTTTAGGATTGTTGCAGCATAAAATGCCTCATCTCACAGCAGTGTTAAAAAAAAATATAGCAATGCTTGTTGCAATGTTGTGAGAATTGAAAAAAAACATTTAGATTGTTATTTTTGTATATTTTTTTTGTATATGGAAAGAATAAAACCACACTGTTTGGACAAGGTAAATGGGACACGTTTGTGCCCAGGAAACTACAATGATTGGCCAAATTTACAAGGTTGCCCAGAATTCACAGGGATTGGTTGAATTTGCGTTAATTGCACTTTGTGTAGGGACTGTCAAATTGTTCTTCCTGCCAGATTTATCATTTCTCTTGGTTTGATCTGCTGGACCTTTATTAAAGGCTGAGCATGTGACCTGTGTGCCTTGTTGAACAGTTTTACTGATTGAAACAATAATGCAGTGCTTAAAGTTACTACAAGGAACTTTAATTTTGTGTTGATTTTGGCGACCCCTGTGGACAAAAGTGGTAGCGTTTCCACTGCGTTGTGTCATAAAGATCTTCATCTGGTTAGCCTGTGCATTTTTGAAAATAGGTCAAAGAAAGAGAACTTATTTATGATACTATTTTTCTTTTTTAAACAGCTGTTTGCAACATGCACAGTGATGAAGTAAGCCTAAAAGATTAATAACTGTAATATGATGATGGTGAAACAAAGTAAACTCCTAGATTCGGTTGCTCTGTAATAGTAATTTTGTTGAGAAAGCTAAAATTATCAAGATTTCCGTGTAATGTTATGTCTTCAAAATTAAAAGCTATCAGCACAGGAATTGGACCCGGTAAAGTGTTTAGCTTTAGAGGTTTTATATGTAACTTTCATTAAACTGTAAATAGTGACACCAGTTGCTGTTAAGTGAACTGTAGTCAGCGTCCTGTTGCCCACACTTCGTCCACAGTCCGTAGGCGCGAGTCAGCATCAGCCCAAAGTAATATACAGCCGACTGAAAGCTGTAAAATAAATGACAATCCTATTTAGAATAATGTAATTATATGCAATGTTCAGATATTTTATTTGGACCATTGACTCCATGCTACCATCTAGCTTGCTGTTTACAAATCACCTCAACAGCCAACCCCACCAAGTAACCAACCCCAGACCCACACCGTGCAGCCAAGACACAGCCAGCTGGCCAACCACAGCTTATCTTAGGCTAACTTACAGCTCGTTGAATTCCCCTGCCGTGCATCACTTTTAGTCGC